TCCGATCGACCTTATTAGAGCCGAATAAACACATTTGTGCTGTGTGCGATTTTTGGCACACACAGTCAGCAGCAACTTTATTGAATTTTACGTGGGTGTGTTTAGTCCCAGACGTTCCGGTCAGGTATGACTTTTGTTCGGTTCGGTGCGCAAAGAAATTCGAAGACCAAAGGGTAAAAGAGAAGGTTGAAATGGAAGAAAAAAAGAGAAAAAGACGTGCAAGATTTGGTCTCGGAGATAACGGTGATAGTACTACTAATTCTTCAACTAATTACAATTAAGATTCGTGCGTATTTAGGAACGAATCTCTTGTACAGTGTATGTTTTTTGTATATTTGACGTATTTATCAAACTGTGATCCAGCAATTTTAACATTCTTTTTATTTTGTTTTATTTATTAAATTATCATCTGGAACGTTCCACTAAAGAAAATAAAAATAAAGGTTTTTCGCCCCCGCAAAATTTTCAAATTTACAGGTTTTTGCCAAAGATCGACCGAATGAAATATTTTTTTTTCATTTATTTATGGGTTCTTCGCAAACGTTGTACATACGATAAGATTTACATGGAAGTGTTTGGAAGATCCATATGATTTTTAGGTTGATATTTGGGAATTTTGTAGGGGAAGTTATCTTGTAAATTTTCAAAGAACGTTTTTTCCGTTTTATCAAAATTGAAAAAAAATTAGTATTTGCTTATATTTTTTTCTGCTAATGTATTGGGATCAATCCCATGATTGAAACTAACACATGTAAAAATTGACTATTGCAATACAAAACAAAAATTTAATAAAAGTGTAATATAAAAAAAAAAAAAAAAATGGTAATTTTAAAAATTTATTATCGTTATGTAAAATTAACAAAAAATTTAATTAAAAAAGGCGTAGTCCACCAATAAAAAATTAACGTGATTTATTATTCTTTTATTACAAACAAATTTACCAAAATTCCGGGCCGGAATTCATCTTATTATCTGGGCGATTTTAATTAATGAATGAGCTATGAATAGGTTGTCAAAAACTTACCATAATTTATATAATTTTACGTCATCATCATGTCGTAATGGCTAACTACTGAACTATATTAATATGTAATGCTTGTACTTTACATATCACGTGAGAAATTACATGTACGGGAAATTAACTGAAATGTATTTTTGTAACCATATGGGCGAGTTTGATTAATGAAATTTAGGTGATAACAAAAGTGATACCCATACTCAAACAGTTTAGCTCAAATGATCCGGAATTGATTTTGTTCAGGTTAGTTTTGGAGCACTACTCATAAATGGGATATAAAAACTCAAAAGCGATTCATAAACAATTTTACGATCACTGATCAAATCATCACTTTTAATCTCAGTAATCACAATCCAAACTATAAGTTTATTAAATTTTTTATAAATACCGACCCATTCCGACCCGGAATTTACTGAATTTTGGTTGCGCCACTAATCTATTCATCTGAATAAGTGTTACATAAAGAACGTCACCTGGTTCGAAAACGTTGCGTAACGAATGTAAAACATCACTCGTTTTCGAAAAAACGTAAAAACGTCATTGATTTCGCATTCCGCGTAACGTATAAATCTCGAGTATCATATCGTTACGCCATAGTGACGATGATGTATTTTACAAGATCGTATACTTGTCAACTATCTCTCAACAATATAAAAGAAGATTTAAAAAGTCAAACGAAAACATAAACAGACATACTGTAAGAGAAGTACTTCATGTTTTTTTTTTTTTTTACCCAATTCAGTATTCGA